GCAGCCCACCACCTGCTTGCCTCCATGTTCACGCTTCGCGCCCCTTCCCCCCCTCTGACGCCGCCGTATGACCGTAGGTGAGGGGCACGACTACCCGCCTGGAAGGCGCTCTCATCAGCAAGTCACCCAGGCACCAACTCCTGGGCGTTTACGCTTGACTACGAAACCATGCAGTGGATGCAGCTCGATCAAAACGGCGACGCCAACAGCTGGTCCCTGGGCGAGTTCCTCGCCCAGGATGAGGTGCGAGTCATGATGCTCGACCCAGCGTGCACCAAGTCGCTCACATTCCGTGAGTTCGTCAAGGGCCGAACACACTCTCCAAGTCGACTGCGATCTCGAACTCCGACAACTGGACCGGTGCACCAGCCGCGGAGGACGATGGCTCCCTCGACGACATCCCTTCATCGACGGACGCCTTCACCGCCGCCGGCCCTGGGCCATCCAGCGCGGCCTCCGACGGCCTGCACGTGATCGAGCGGGTACAGAAACGGTGGCTGCCGCAGCTCACACCCTAATCGATCTGCCTTAGGCACGGAGCCAACGGAGCCATCGCGCATGCCCGCATCGCGTGCGGCTCCGAGGTCTCCCGCCGAGACCGGCTCGGCGCGGCGCGTGGCCGCACGCCGCCGTTGAAAAGGCGAGATAGGACCGAGGGGAGAGCGCCGGCCACATCGAGCGAGCGCTGACGTGTAAGGTGTCTGTGCTGCTCCGGTGTGTGTGGGATTCTGCCCCCCCCCCCCCCCCCCATCTGTGCGGCGAGTTGTTTGCGGCGCGATGCCCGATCGTGCGCGATAGCCTCCCATTGTGCGTGGTGTGTCGGTGTGTGTCGGGGTCGTCCGGAGCGTGTGGCGGCGCCGTTGCATGCAGCGACTGCTCCACGTGCCACGACTGCTTTGACTGCCGTGACTGACTGATGAGTGCCACGACTGCTTTGACTGACGTGACTGACTGATGAGACATGAGTGCTGATGGATGATCTCCGACAACCCAAAACCAAAATGCAAATGCGGAGTGGCGCCACTTTGGCGTGCAGATCCTGCGTCTCTCACTGCCCGAACAACAGAGACGGGTACCGCCGCAGGTCCCACACTAGTACTTGTATATATATGCGCAGGACCGACTCTGCTGCCGCCGCCGCCGCCGCCGCCGCTGCCGCCGCCGTCGCGATTGCGCTCGCCGCCGCCATTCGCGACGGCGGCGGCGCTGCCGTCGGGCTGGACTGGGGCGACTGCAGCACCGGCGCGCGGTGGCTGCCTCGAGCCCGCAGCCCTCTGTGGGAGCCGCAGGTGGCAGACTTCTTCCCGGCGCTCGCCGGGTGGGGCTCTGTCCCAGACGACGAAGCGGCGCAGGCGACGGCGCCCGCCGAGGAGGCACCGCCGCGCCGCGCACCATTTGCGCCGCTGGCACGCGAGTCGGACATCACGGCGGAGCGGTTCGCGGAGCTGGCGGCGCTCGGCCAGCCCTTCATCGTGGAGGATGCCGGCCGCGACCTGCCGCTGCTCGGCCTGTCGTGCGAGGAGTACGCGCGGCGCTGGCCCAACGGCTCGATGCGTGCCGAGTACCTCGAGGGTGAGGAGTGGGGCGGCGAGTGGGGCTTCTTCCGCGACGAGGCGGAGGGAGAGAACAAGGTGCCGCTAGACAATGGGCTGTGGTGGCACGCGCCTCGACCTGCGAGGCCGCGGCGAGGCATCGAGCAGCACATGGCCGCCGAGGCCGACGCCGCCGAAGGTGACGCGGCCCCGCGGCTGACGGCGCCGTACATTTGGTGCGGCGGGCGGCGGCGGTCA